TTTGGTGAAAGAATTTCACGTTAGATGAGTCGATATTGTTTTAATTATGATTCCCTACAGACGTAGTAGTAATATTGTTTTCTCCTCGTTTTCTCGTTTGTTTCGTCTTGTACGGATTTTTGGTTTAGACGTTTGCACCACGTGGTTGGCGAGCGTAATGAAAGGTAGAAATCGGAAGCTCAATGCCCTGATTTTTTTCTTCTAAAACATATCTTCCGGTCTACCATGAAAAGAAGTTTTTATGACTCTATGAAAACAGAGATTACTTTTTAAAATAACTCCCTAATGCCAAATATATTTCTGTCCGTCCGTGCATTAACCTGCAAATTTGAGCGTGGAAATTGATGCCACGTGACCTAAACGCCAGTTTAGTTTGCCAGCTAAATTTAGTGGGGAATTAAAATCATGTTATATATTGTAACGCTTTTATTTAGTTTATTTAGTTTTATTTATCTGCGTATGAATTTAGTTTCTTGCTATTTTTAGAGAAGATACTTCACGGGACTTAATCACGAATTCTATTTCTGTGCAGAATTTCACGTGGAAATTGACGTCACATGAGCTTACATCATGTGACCTAAGTACACAAATTTAGTTTTATCGATAGATTTAGGCGAAATTAATTTAACGTGACCTAACCGTCACCTTACTTACGCAGGAAGTCAGGTTTTATACTAAATTTAGCCCTGAAATTTATAAAGTTGAGGTCCATGTGTCCCTGAGACGACGATTTAAAGGAGCTGTGCTGCGATTTTAACGTTGAAAGAATTGGCATCTTCTACTTTTTGTATTGTTCACCTTTTCATAAATGACAGAAAACACACATCCTTTCATCGAAATGTTGCGATTCCACCGCGTAATAGCGAGGCACAAATTGGAATATTCCCCGACATGCAGCCGCGAGCGGCGGCCATGAGAACCACGCGGCATGACATCAGGGGGGAACTTGTGCAAAGATAGCAAGTTGTGCGAATACCTGCTCGATAAAAGGCAACTTTTCCCTAAATCTTGTTGTTCCAACATAAATATGAATGCGTCAAAAACCTGGTATCGCTTACAAAACTTGTATTATACAGAGTTTTAATGGCGCCATCTCTTCTAGGTCCACAAAACCATGAGCTCTACCGGCTACCGCGAACAGCCGCCAGAAGCCGGAGTGGGAAGGGGACAGAACCGGACGGGTATGGCCAGACCCGAATGAGACTCTCATCCTTTCACCATATTGTTCGCGCTGCGCCAGCATGTGGTCAAGCAGTCGCAAGCGGATGAGTTCTCGCTGCTCACTGATGGGAAAATAAGCGCCAAAAGAACACGGACCAAGAGTAGAATAACAACGACACAGGGCGCACTTTCAACTGAACTTATTACGAAGAAACGAATTAACTTTTCTACCAACGGGAACACAACATCAGACATAACACGTCACGTTAGTCCCCGCCCAGCCCACATTTTAAATATTCAAACTCATCCGTAGATAGAGCCAGAGAAGTATCGCTAATGCATTTCTAATTTCAAATGCCCCATGAAGCTGGCGTGACACTTTGTTTTTGTACATTGCCAAAATTCTAGTGCCGTCAAATGACGAGGCGCAAGAGCATCTGCTCCAATGTACAGCCAAATGCCCTGACGATGTGGTTCTAGTTGAAGCGGCGTGCTCGCGGACCCGTTCATTGACACATCTTCCAGTTTGCCCTACATAGCTTAAACTTCACGTCATTGGGATTTCGTAAATGATGCCGGTTGTGCAATCAGTGTATCTATTCTTATGCTTGGTCACAGATGGCTCTAGAGGGAGAGCTTCACCGGAACCCGGCGCGACCCCCATTGAGGTCACAGCGCACATGACTGGGAAAATGATGAAGTAGTTGAGAGGCGCCGGAAACCTCAACCTTTGTCATTTCTTAAAATAAAACTGGGACATGTAGGCAAAAGGTTTTTTTTGTTTTTTTTTTTTGTTATTTTTTTCAGAAAGGTCGAGACACCAACCCCCAAATTATGTAAGTAAAGCACTGAAATTGTTCCGAAGCTCCTTTGATGTCTTGTAAACCCATTTAAAAGACCTTTGATGCGTTCCATGCATTATGTGACGTCTAAAATAAATGTCACTGCGAAATAAAAAAGAAAAAAAAAACAATAACTGTGACTTAAGTGAAATAAGATAACCGTATTCACCAAAATCATCAAATAATGAATACTCGGAATCAAAATGACATTTTTCCGAGATTACTCTTTCGGGAAAGGTCTGATAGAAATCACGGTATGATAAATGATCACACTTGTGTTGCGATCTAAGTCGACTCATGATGTAAATCATTTTGAGTTTTTTTTTTACTCTAGAAACAATAATGCAGTTCATTTGAGGGATCAACAATTCACGCGGCCTACTGTGCGTAAAATACATAGTGTTAAAACACTGATTTGTCCTCAAATTATACTGTTATCTTAAATAAAGAAGTTTTGCAATAAATCGGATATGATCGTAGACAATCGACGAGAAAAGGCAGGGACTTTTCGGTGATTGTTTACGATCATGAACGAGGTGGCCCAAATTGCCACAATAATGAAACTGAAAATGGATTCTTTTTCTGAGATAATCTGGTCTTCCCAGAATCTCGCATATCACGTACGACCGCATTCAGGATACACTGCCATTAAATAGTCAATATCATTATAAAATCAAGTACCTGCAATTGCCTTGGAAATAGAGGGCAGTAAACACGTTAGGACTTGTTGCGTGCGGCAGAAAGTGAGAGGAAATAATGACAAGTTATGTGTTTATTTAGGAAATAACTTGTCGTCTTTAGTGGAATCTTGTTTTTGCTTTGTTAGAAGTTTATATGGTTACATATACAGGACTATAAAATTAACTCTATCTTCTCAGGCTTTGCCGAATAACACAAATAATTTCTGTCGTTCCTTTGAACACGCAACTAACTGTTTAGCCAAGATGATTAAAGTGTGTTTTCTATGTTAGCTTCCCATTTATGATCGACCGACAAGCTCTGTTCGCTAATTTGTTTCTTAAAAATCGATGTAATCAAATGTAAAACAATTTTTTCTTGTATCGCTTATTCCAACAAACAAAACTTACTTTTACATATTACATTTTAGTTAGAGATTTTTATAATAAGGATGTATATCTTAGACCACTGTTTAATAGAATAGAACATGCATAATAAAAGGTGAGAAGCGTTTCTTTGTCACCTTTATGTTTGCCGTCCTTCGTCTCAAAAACTTCGTTTTTTGATTGAGTTTGTTGCTTTTCATTTAATGTATAATATAATCGTAACGAGTGTGTTGGTAAAAAGCATACTACTGAGTTTCGATAATTCCAAGATCAAGCCTGTTTTCTGGGCACTAGAATGGAACAGCTGTAATTGAGTCTGAAGCTTTCGTATTTCACTACTATTGAAGTGTTTTATGTGTATGTGGAATTGATTTAGTATCATTTCTGCCAGCTATTTCCAGACTATTACGATGACTTCAACGTGCACTACATTTTCTAATAAGTGACCTATGAAAGTGATTAAAACATTGCCATAACTAAACCACAACGTCAGATTTTTAGAAATTTTAATACATTCAGCATGAAACAAGGACACTACGTGTTCACTGTTTTGTTTGTCTTGGGTGTCGCTAATTAAGCTAACAAGGCCGAGAAAAAAAAAGCTGCAGCCTTAACACTCCAGACTAAAATAAATGCTTTCTGTACACATTTAGTTGCAATCGAGTTAATGCCGTTCTCTGCAAGAACACTTTCCGATAAAATCGCAATCCATAAGGGGTGGTGCACCGATAAAACACTTTTTACCGATAAGTCGGTGACCCTTATTTGAAGAACTAGTCGTGCAATTGACCTAATGCGGAGACTACTAGTATTCTCATTTTTCCGAAACATCGCCAATATTATATTACCCATTTCTCGAAAGCAAATGTTAAGATTTGCATTCCTTTAGCCATGCATAAATAGCATGGCTAAAGCTAAAATTACATGGTATTATGAGAGCCAGTTTGTTTAGATATTTCGTTTAGACATTCAAATGGTCTGGGCTCATGAAATAAAGTAGATGGTAGGACGAAAATAAATCTGCAAATTACTCTAATTGCGTAGGGTTGCCAATCACTAAAATAGTTTAAGATATTCAAATGTATATAACACGGATAAATCTTTAAGAGACAAACAAGATTGACATCAAGTCAAAATTATTATTACTTTACTGACTTTTGTTGACAATCGTAATAAAAAGGTTAAAAACAATGAACCGCGTCAAGGGAGAGCCGAACTCTCGCCAGTTAATAATTTATTCATGATGACTTTGACAGCGACAAATACACTTCCCGCGAAAACGTTATAATGAAAGGTCCAATTACAATTGGTTAATCGGCAAACAATATGGTCGTCGAGCTAGTTGGTACTGTTCAACTTGTCCCGTGCAATGGGCACATTGCTCTGAACAAGAATTCGCCTATTTTGGTTAGCCTTGTCGTACCATCACCCCCTCTAACCCGACCGCTTTCAAACAGGTTTCTTCAATTAGTCCTCAGAACCCACGCGCCCAAGGGGGAGGTGTTTGGTACAAGGACGCGGGATCCAACTCACCCTACGCATATTTGCCTTTTAATCGCGGCGAGCTCTTTTTCGCGTGCGCGGGAGCCATTCCAGCTTTTCGGTACAGCGCTGCCCTCTTCCAGCTGAGTGCTTTCCGCCGAATGAGCGGATGACGAACCTCACTAGCATTTCCGTGCGTGATGGGACCCATTATTTAGATTCCGTCGAAACGAGCCCAATATCGACTTCCCCCGGGCCAAGCGCACCACGGGGCAGATCTATAGTCGAAAGCATGGCTCGGGCGAAGGAAACAGGACCTCTCAACACTCGCTCAGTGAAAGGATTGACATATAGCCCTGCCTTCCATCGGACCCGTCAAACAAACGGAAAAGCACAAAACAAAACCGAAAGAAGGTAGGTGAAAGCACACACAGAGCGGATGCCTACTTACCGGTTGTCGCACATTGTGGCTGGTCGTAGCGTCGGCTGGTCTTGCTGGTGGTGCCTCAGCGCCGCACGGAGGGACACCATGCAGTGTCAGTCCGCTTCAGCACTGCTGACTACCGCGCGCGTCTCGTCGCTACGTCCAAACGAGGGACAGACCTTTTTTTGTTTGAAAAAAACTGTGTCCCCGCTGTAGCCAAGAGGAGCAGGAAGGTCGCGAACGCAACGCTATCGATGAGTGTTCGCTTTTCTTTGATTTAAAGAAAGAAAAGATTGAGAGTTAGGTATTTAGATCCCGGGGCAACGTGACAAAAAAAATCGGGAATCACGATGCCGGGTTTCCTTTGTTTGCGTTCGCGCGATTTCGGTTGCTCTTGGCAACCGTCCCCCGTGAAAAACAACGTCTTTTTTTCGGCTGTGGCGCCATCTTTTGAGAGGTAAAGCAAACTTTGGTCTTTTTTTTTTGTGTTTCTTCTTGATGACCTCCAGTATGGCGGTATGGAGGTAAAAAAGATGTTTTTTTGTTTTAATTGCAGGCGGCATAAAACGTGCTTTGGTTCGGGGTTCCCGAGAACGTCACCGACCTGCTGGTGACGGGAACCGAGATTCACGTGAATTGTGGGCTTTGTTTTTTGCAATTTTATGTATGCCTATTTTTTTTTTTTTCTGACCGAGGGTAAGTTTCGGGTAATTACTTAGATCTGTTAAACGGAACGAGGCGAAAAACAAGCGTGAGTTCCATATTGATTTTTCGTTTTATTTTATCTGCCCTGAACTGTTAGCGTGTTCAGAAAATAAAGTCACCACGTGTTAGAACGCTTTAATGCTCCTGCGTGCTGTTTTTATTCCTAGGTTGCGTTTTACTTCTAATTACTTGCTAATTTATTCCGATAAGTTAGCGTGGTACCGTATGTTTTGAGTAAAACGACCAAGAATAATCCCAATTCTATGCATCTGTGCACCTACTCCAAATAAAATAAAAGGGAAAATTAGAACGGCCACTTTTTTAGTCGATTTGAGATAATTTCTCCGGTCTAAACGCATGAAAGAAAATAACTCGTCGCGCTCTATAAAACCGTCCTTCCTTTTATATTTAAAACATGTTTTCTGAAGCCTGCGTTTTAGGTAGTTCATTTTAACGCTTACAGTCGCCACGGTTATTCCATGCTCTACTTGAAGTGAACAAATTTAATAAACTCTAGTGGAGGTATGTGAGTGTGTGAAGAATATCTAGGGAATAGCAAAAAGTCTGGTTTGATTCACTTAAACAAATGCGTTGGTACTGCTTCTCGGCGGCTATAAGTATCTCTAGGAATGCGTCATAGACATTGCTTCAACAATGCACACGCGTTTGGGTTGGGATAAAAGAACATAAAATTCAGCACAACGCGCCACTTAGCAAGGCGAAATGCGATCGTTTGCATAGGCTGGGAATGGCGAATGGGGTGTAGTAAGGAAGTATTTCTTAAACTGTGGGTCGCGAAATTGCCCGGGTACTTGGAAAAAAAAAGGGGGTGGGGGCAGAAGCGGAACTTCTTTATTGCTGTAGCGGTGTAGATGAACAGAAAGAGCAGGTCGCTGCCAAACATTGCGCCGGAACTCAGGGTAGCGACGTCTAAACTCCACCTTGCCTACATTTTTTTTCTTCTGTTCTTGGCAAAGATTTCCAACTTAGCTGACTCATTCTGAGTATTTAGAAACTTTCAAATGAAAAACGTCAGTGCCAGTTTCGTGTGGTACTACTCATGCACTAAAATTAAAAAGCTTGTGACATCGGAAAAAGCCGTGGTGACTGGAAGGAGGGAAGGGGGGGGGGGGCGCAATATGTTTGTTTAGGGGTGGGTCGCAGGGTAACGGGATTTGGGAATCCCGCTGCCCTGTGATAAATAACAATTCCGACAGTAACCTTGGCCTCAAATGACAAAATCATCATGATGATTTTGTTTACCAACCCAATAACGTTTTCTACATTTACCAACCCAATAACGTTTTCTACATCTGCAGATGTAGAACACGTTATTGGGTTGGTAAATTTTGTCAGGGTTGATTGTGTAGCGAGACATATACCGCTACATCTGAAGAGAACGCCATTGGCTTTCGCTGCGGTCGCATGATCCCTTACGCCAGTCGATGGGAGTGAGGCATCGTCCTCGGGGCTGCGACGGTGACACTGCATAGTGTGTTTAGTTTAAACGGTTCAGCATTTAAAGACGAGGTAAACTTGCTTTAGGGTTCTCTCAGCCCTGGAGCCATGTCGGTGGCCATAGTGGCCACAACAAAAAAAGAGGCAAAATTGGTCGATTAGTTAGCTAATTAGCTAAAAGGTTAATTCAACCTTGAAAGTTTTCGTTTTGGGAACATTATATTTTGAGATTTGACGCCCGAGCTTACAATTCTCTCCCACGCCGTAAAATCTTGATTACTGTGATAAAACCAAAATTGTTAAAAAAAAAGAAAGAAAAAAAAAAGAACTGGTTAAAATTAGATCTATAGTCAGTGACAGGTTAAGAGTTCAGGTGAAGTTCCTCCCACCTCTTTCCACATTAGAAGAGCGAACACAGGAGAGGAGGTCACCTCCTCTCCAGCGTTCGCTCTGCTCAAATGGAGAGATGTGGGAAATGCTTCCACTTCACTCCTAACCTGCCATTGTCTATCGGCTGTTAACCAAATGCTGACCCCAACCCCCCATGGTCTGTTTTGTGCGAAACAGGCTCGGTGACTCCGGGCGTCGGTCTACGGATTCCTAGGTGGCGTGTTTGAACCGCGACCTATATGCATTCATTTTTTTATATTTTTTTTAATATAATTGAGATCCCGGTTTCACGCCAGGAGATCTCCAGGTGGTCTGAATTCAAACCGTAGTCCTTCGCCGGGGGCAAGCCAGACGCCGTCCTTCGTTCATTCGCCACGTAAACACCCGTTTGTTTACCTAACGTGTCGAGCGAAGTTATCTGTTTGACGACCGCAACGAAGCTCCAAGGTCGAAAGTTGCCGGACTATAGGGTGACTAGGTTCGCGGGTTGCGTATCAAGGCTACTCGGAACCGAGCGATTACTTTCACGAATTGAGGTCCTCGGCTATAGAACTCCGTTTCCCCTTTACGACCAAGCGCAGGCAATGCTACGAGCCATTCCAGCTAATCCAATGCGTCGCGAGTCTCTCGTGACCTTCGGGACAGTAGCAGCGGCTTGCCGGACGCGTATTCACGCGATACCATCGCGGCTCTCAATTGGCTGAAACGGCCCGCAGCGTTTATTTCGGTCCATCATAAAGTGAAACGGCGTGTATCGCTTCCCTCCAGACAGACGCGTCGTCTCTACGTGCCCGGCGGTGGCTGCACGTGAGCGCATACTGCTGTCCGCTGCTCCTTGTTGGACGGACGGGCGCGGGTCCGCCCCGGTTGTCGAGATACGACGGAGCCTTGACGTGTGCCGCCGAGTGCGCCGACTGGGCAAGCCGAGATTCGCCGAACCCCGGGGCGCAGTGGCGGAAAAGTACAACACGAGACGAGGAACGGACACTGCTCCGTTTCAACTTGGGATGGACCGCGGAGGCGGACGCCACGAGCCATCGCAGCCAATCTCCAATGCCGTGTGGGTATCACGTGGCTTTCGACGGTGATCACGTGACGCGCTCGCGACGCTTGATTGGCTGGGATTTGCTCGTAGCGTCATCTGCGGTCCATCGTGAGGAGAAACGGAATATATAGAGGAGACAGGGCAACGTCCCTTTAATATTGTCCGTCTCTTTTATATTAGCGCTTTTTTTTTTTGTTGTTTTCGGGGAGCAGTACCTGCACTCGTGTTTCGACATAATTTTGGGGCGGGTTGCGTTGGGAAAGAGAAGCGAAAAGAAAAAAAAACAAAAAAAAAAAAAACAACGAAAGCAAGACGAAGAGAAAGAATGTACCGAGGGAAAAGTCGATTAAAAATATGGGCCGGCGTTGCGAATGAATGGATATGCGGGGGGGGGGGGGGGGATTATGACGAAGTCCGATCCGTTTATTGATTCGAGGTCGTTAACGGAAGCCGAAATAAATGAGGGAGGTGCAGGTGACAGCCGAAGTTCGTGTGCTCTTGTGATCTAATTGGAGTGAGAAAGATGAGTAAAGAACGACCACAAAATGGAAGATTTGAGTTCCTCGAGAAGGAGAGGCGTGGGGTCGAGTTAACATATATGTGTCGATAGGTCCGTACATGTTACCTTGGTTTGAATGTGTCTAAGTGGCGCTTGATCTACTTTTCTATTGGCGCCACCTAAAATAATATTTTGTTGGCCTTTTTTTTTGCGGATACTAGTCACATTTTTGATGATTAATCTATTTTCTACTCGAATCTGTCTGAACAGTTATCGTAACAGGACACGAGAAGTTTGGAGTCATTGCGTCGTATCTGACGTATCCTTTAGATCTACAGGTAACGTTTATTATATTCTACTTCATCAATAATTGTTTTTAGAATAAATAAAAATGAGTTATGGGATAATAAATAAATAGTACACTTCAATAAATGGTAAAAACAAATTGTACAATATAAGAAAACCTTATAATGTCCTTAGTCTAGTCATTGATAGTGGACCTTGAACACCCGTTCACGCACTTGCGACTTCTTAGTACGGTCTGCATTAAAGCCTCTTAAAATCTCTTACGACGAGCGAACAGACTGGCGCCACCTATCGGGTAGCCATGGAACAGTTGGCGGTCCCTTATTTTTATTATTTTTTTCGCCAATAATTATTTCTTTATTGGCTAGAAAACCTTTTGTTAATGTTATAAGCGACCATTTCTCGTAGGTAGTACGTATAAACTTGATCTCACAGATACCGCGAAAGCTTCGCTGTAACGAGATTCTGTTCCAGGGTCGCGGCATAGGTGGCGCCAGCGTGCCAGTGCATTCTCTGGTCCTGAGAGGTTTTAAGAGGTTGTAAGGCACTCGGTCAAAACAAGTGGAATGAGTGTGAACGGGCCTTAGAAATGTTGAAATATCGTTTGTTTGCTAAGCAATCGGCGCCATTCCTCACCG